AAAAAAAACAAAGAAAAGAAAGAAAACAAAAATAGAGATAATACAAAAGAAGTTCTTCTGTGGGAGGGATTTCGCACCCTAAAACTTCCGGGTATGAATATATCACAATACACTCCTAACTTTAAGAAAAGAAATACGTGTAGCTGTGACAGAAGATCAAAACATTAAATATCTCTGCAAATAATGAGTATTGACGGCTAATGCCTGGACACAGTCAAATTATTTTTACTTTAAGAATCGACGTACCAAATTATTCATTAAAATCGACGACCCAACAGCTGTGACCTCTCCTTGTGAGATTATATTACGAAGTTATTTCGAATAACGACCAACGTCAGTGTCGGAGCGTTACAGGATTTTTTTTAATCTTTGTTCAAAATGTAAAACAAACACCTAGTCGGGGGGATCTCGTAATCACGAGCGTGATTTGTTATCTACGGTTGGTAGCACGAACGTAGAAACACATTGTAAGTGTACGTAGAGCTAACCAAATTTGCGTAGGTAAGCGAGAGAGGCACGAGCCAGAAACGAACGTCTTCTCCAAGTATACATAGTCAACTGAGACCAATGAAATTTTACGTCTTTATCTCTCCCCTCCCCTGACGCACGTGCAGATAGTGCAGATAATTCTGCAACGTCTGTTTTCGTTTTCAATTCTCTCGTCTTTCTTTCTCTCGGACGTCTTACCTCTTTCAATTCGATCGCACTTTTTTTTTTTTTTTACGTTTCTCTTCTCTTCGTCTTCCCGTCCAACTGAAATCGTTCTTTCCTCGGTTCGGATCGGATTCTTATTAGCTCTTGGAAGCAACAAGACGTGTACATATACACAGTGACTGATCTAAAAGTCGAAGAACGTGCTCCGATCGGAGGGAACAGGGCAACGATCGGTGCGCGTTGTCGATGCTGGGAATCGTTATCGCCTGGGTCACGATCCAAAATAACGATACGGTGTAAATGGCTCAAAGGCCTTGCGTTCTCTGCTATATTACGCCTCAAACCTCGTGTATTGCAACTCTATTCGCAAATCTAATATCATCAAGGACGTGTACGTGCACGTTCAACTCGCAATTAGTTCTTTCGTTCCAGCGCCGTCTAGTTGGATAATTTCCAGCTTGTTTATTGCCTCGCGATTTGACAGAAAATTAAGCGCGATATATATATATATATATATATATATCAGTCTTAAACTTTGCTAATCTCATCGAGCAACGAAATCTAATATCGTCAAGGACGTATGTACCGGGATGTTCAGCTTTTACAATTAGCTTTTTCGCCACGGCGATTTGACAGAAAAATCAGTTGGGAGAAAATAGTTTTACAAAGCTTTGCCAATCCGTCAGAAGAATTTCACAAGGCGATACGGTGTTCTGAAGTTTCGCGCCATCGGGGATCGTTTCGGTTGGAAGGAAACGAGAGAGAACGATCGACGACAAACCAACCAACACCCATCTTTGGTGCACAAACAGCCGACCAGGGTCGTCTCCGCGACGGCGGTTTGACCTACGAGCGACCTCGGGGGCCCGAGAATCGACCGTCCTCCTTTCGTCATTCCACCTCGTGATATATCGTCGTTTCTCGTCGAACGCCGCGTGATCTCTTACGTTCGTGGGGAAAAACGACGC